TTACTCATCAGAAGATGCAAGCTTAAGCTGATAAATTGCCATTGAGGCAAAATTCATTCAAGGTGATCAAAGTAAGGGAATACTGAGATCTCCACTTTGGAGCGAGAAGAAGAATAATTAACATTTTTGCATACAAGAAAGTCATACATTACATTTAGATTCATTTAAGTGCATTCATATATACATAAATAATTCTTACAGATTTTCCAAGAAAGAAATAAAAGAAAAGTCAGAATTCAAGCCTCAAATGGAGGGAATTACATTAATAGTGGCAGAACCTCAAGAATTGAGGAAACCAATACACAGAATAATCATCATTTTTGAAGTAGGGCATGTTACCCAGCTAATGTGTTTTTAGGAGCTAAGTCTGATTTTCGGAAGTTTCTTGATTTTTCTTAAATGAACATTCAAAGAAATTAAGCCTAATTTTTAGGGGTTTCTTGATGTTTTCAAATGAATTTTCAAAGAAATTAAGCCTGGTTTTCAGGGGTTTTTTGATTTTTTTTTGAATTTTTGAAAGAAGCTAAGCCTAATTTTAGGGGTTTCTTGATAACTGTAAATGAATATTTTTTGAAGAAGTTAAATTTATCAAAAGAGAAAAATTTACTGGAGAAAGATGCGCCCATTCACAAGTCAAGATTCGAAAGAATACACTCAGGTGCGGTAGATAAAGAAGGCAATCAAACCAGGAAAAGAATGAAGATTGATCTAGCAATGAAGACTGCTCTCGCAACCATTTCCAACAGATCAAGAAAACCATCATTCATACATGACTAGCATCTTTGCATTATACATTTCATCATTTCATACACATGATAAATTTTGATTTCCCTCTCACGAGGATTCATGTAAAGTTTATTTTGAAAAACTATTTTGTCCTTCTTAGGATTACTTTTTTTGAGTCATTCTTAGGACCGTTTTTCTGGGATATCACATGAGTATTTCTTAAGATTTTTCCCTAGAAGCATTTTCAATTATGTCTTTCTTCCAACTTGACTTTTCTAGGACACTTCAATGAGAATGAGCAGTTTCGTTTCCAGGATGGACCCAACAAAGACAAAAACACATCAATTTGCAACATTAAGTATTTCAAAGAGCTAACAAAGATTTCATTTCACGACTTCAGCAAAGAATCAATCCATAGTTTTCACCATTGAAAGAAATGGATCTCAGCAAAATCCGAGGACCTTTGGGTCAATACCTTCAGGTACTTCAAACACCATTATTACTGACATATGATAATCTTTTGCAGGTTTAAAACTCTTCAAAGAGAGGGAAAACCAATCAACACTTCCAATGGAGAGTTCATAATGAGAAGAACTCATCCGATGAGGGAGAAGAAGTTCATAATGAGAAGAACTTGTTCAACCTTAGCTCGATTCATCACATATGGAGTTGAATCAGCAACACCTCACTCGAGGGAACAACATTTCCAATGGAGAGTTCATAATGAGAAGAACTCATCCGATGAAGGGGAAGAAGTTCATAATGAGAAGAACTTGTTCAACCTTAACTCAATTCATCACATATGGAGTTGAATCAGTAACACCTCACTCGAGGGATCAACATTTCCAGTGGAGAGTTCATAATGAGAAGAACTCATCCGATAGAGGGAGAACAAGTTCATAATGAGAAGATCTTGTTCAACCTTAGCTCGATTCGTCACATATGGAGTTGAATCAGCAACACCTCACTCGAGGGATCAACCTTTCCAGTGGATATTTCATAATGAGAATAACTCATCCGATAAGGGAAAAGAAGTTCATAATGAGAAGAACTTTAGCTTGCTTTCATCGTATAAGGAGTTGGAACAACACCGACTTTTGCTCGTCCATCACATAAGGAGTTGGATCAGCATAATCATTTAGCTAGTCCCTCACATAAGGAGATGGATCAACATTACCTTAGATCAATCATCACAGAAGGAGGGGGATCAACATTTCCAGTGGAGAGTTCATAATGAGAAGAACTCATCCGAGGAAGGAGAAGAAGTTCATAATGAGAAGAATTTGTTCAACTTTAGCTTGTTTCCATCGCATAAGGAATTGGAACATCACCGACTTTTGCTCGTCCATCACATAAGGAGTTGGATCAGCATAATCATTTCACCAGTCCCTCACATAAGGAGTTGGATTAGCATCACCTTGGCTCAATCATCACAGAAGGAGGTGGATCAACATTTCCAGTTGAGAGTTCATAATGAGAAGAACTCATCCGGCGAGGGAGAAGAAGTTCATAATGAGAAGAACTTGTTCAACCTTGGTGATTCCATCACAGAAGAAAGTGGAGTGACATCATCAACGAAGAGTTCATAATGAGAAGAATTCGTCCGATCAGAAGAAATTGAAGTTCAAGATTTTAGTAATTTAGTATAGATAAAAAATGGTGCTTATTATCTTTGCTCTATTCCTGTTCCACAGTAATGAGCAAAGAGGGGCAGCTGTAAACACCATTTTTTCAATATTATTTTATTATGTGTAAAAAAACAATATTAAAATGTAGTGGTTGAGGTTATTAATACCCCAACCACCCTTGTAAAATCAAACAGCATTTCCCCGAAAAAGAGGGAATGAAAGACAGTTTGCTTTGACTCTTTTTTCTCTCCAATATTTCTTTTCCTTTTCCTTTCTTTTTTAGCTTTCTCACTTGGTTTTTGCTTCGGTTTCAGGGGTTCATGAGTTGCAGGGAGAGTGGCTACCGTTGAGCGGCGGCCGACGAGGGAGTTCCGGCTGTTGGTGGCCGTAGGTAAGCGTAGGGAGGGTCCTTGGTCGGGCCTTGATCGAAAGAAATGAGAAACGAGAATAGTTTGGGTCACTTAGACCCTTGGGTGGTTTGCTTCGGTCGGTTCGGACGTTGGTCGGAGTTCGGGTCTTTTTCGTTGAGTGGCCAAGGTGGTGGTCGTCGTTGGGGCTCGTTTTTGAGCCCTCTCGGCCGCCGAATAGAGAGGAGAAAGAGTGAGAGAGGAGGACAACAGGGAGTTTTTTTTTCGGTCATTCAAGGGTGGTCGGTCCTCCTACGACCTCGATCGAGGTCGGCGGTGGGTGTATGTCGGTCACCGGCTCGGTGGTCGACGTGTGAGGGCCGGCAAGCGACGACCGAGCTGAGTTTTGGGAGGCTTTGTAAGTTCTTGGCAGTTTCACGTGAAACATGAGGAAAATATTATGTTTGTATGGAAAATGGTTAAACCACGTATCAGGTCCCCTATTTCTAGGGGTTTTCTGTTTTGTTCATTTGTTTCAGGGTCAAATCGCATTCCAGGTCCTCCCTATTCCAGCATATCTTGCATTTTGGTCATTATCAGGGTAAAAGCATCCTTAAGCTCCTCATAGTTTAGCTTCTATCGCACTATGGTAATTTATTTTGTTATTTATTTTGAATATGCATATTAATTTTATTAACTTTTGAATTTAGTCACTGTTTTTTTATATTTATTCATTTTAGTCACTGCTTGGATTTTGTTTTTATTATATTATGATTTGGATGTGATATTTGTAATTTATTTATTTTAGTCACTTTTTTTTATTTCTCATTTGGCATATAATTTGTAATATTCTATTTTAGTCCCGAGTTGTGGTGTAATGTATTATACATTATATTTGGCATGTAAAATTTGTAGTATGTATTTTAAGTGATGCATATTTTTATATTTTATTATTTATAATTTAGGTGAATGTACAATTTTATGTTTTTTTAACTTAAGTACTTTAATTTCTTTATTTACATTTGTAATGTTCATTTTTGTATTTATTATTTAATCTTTATTATTTAGAACTTTAAAATTTGTAATGTTCATTTTAATAATTATATTTTGTTTGCTTATTTAACGTAATATTTATGTTTTAAAGCATGCACTTGTTAATTTAGTCCAATTTTATTTCTATCATTGAATAGCATTTAATTTTTATCTTTGCTTTAATTTTCATTTATTTGTTCCTAATTAGTATTTTTAATTTATAATTTTTGCCATGAAAATTTGTTTGTGCATATAGATCTAGATATTTGGAATATGTATGAAAGCTTCATAAGCATAACTTAATCGATTTCATAATTGGATTAAGGGTAGTATTTATTTATTTTAAAATATTAAGAAGGGACAATCTTAAAGTAACTAGATGTCCTATTCTGATGTTTTAAAATAAATAAATAAATATTCTATTTAGAAAAACCTAAAACTTTTGAATATGCCTATTCTAGTTTTATTCAATTTGGTTGAATCACATTATTTTAATATTGAGTTCTTGGGAGAAATTATTATATTCTTTTTATTTCAGTTAGAAAGAGAAATATTCGTCCTACAATATTTTAGGGATTATTTTCTCTTCAATTGGAAATATTAGAATATTTTCTATTTCTCCTTAGAATTTTTCAGTAAATAAAAATTGTATGGTTGAATCTAGAATAATAGGATCGTAACTTAAATTTATATTAAAATTCTTAGATTTTCACTATTAGAGACAATTTATAATCGATGGGGTACCAATTATGGGCGTTGTGGGGGTGCTTATCATTCCCCACACGTAATTGACCCCCGAACCCTTATTATTGCTTAAAAATGAATTTCTGGTTACACGTGGATCAGTGTATCTTTTAAAATGACGTTTTTCTTAAAAACTCTTTTAAAAGAAATTTTTTAGGTATTCGACCTACCTAACCCAAAAGGTCGATGGCGACTCTAAAACATTTCAAAACCTTTTCAAAGAAAACCCCAAGTCGTACTAAGTTTTTCCCGCCCGGGCGGAAAACAGTGTCGACAACATGCAAGAACAAGGTGAATCTGCATTGCACATATACATAAGTTCCAGCAGCACTAATTAGCCTAGAAGAAAGTAAAAACCCTCTATCTGATGGTCAAACAGAAGTGGAGGGTTAAACATATTCCTGTAAACATAGTACATAAATGAGCTTAACATATTGGAATATACTATTGTTAAGTAACAAGCAACATAAAGAAAAGGCAGAGTGAGGAAGATTCAAAGAACAGATGAAATAATTCCTTCTACCTCAGATCACTGCCTTTACGAAAAATACGAATGGATGGATACCCTTGAATATGGTGCCTATATGAAGAACATAACAAGTGAGTATAATAAACTAGAAAAGGAAGAAAGCATAAAAGAGAGAAGATTAAATTTGCAGCAAAGTTATGAAAAAGATGCAACATTTGAAAAACAATTCTATAAAGAAAACACATTTAAATGTATGAAGTGATAAATATTGATGAATCTGCAACATCAAAAAGATCGAAACACATGGAGTTAAGAGGTCAAATAATGACATAATCATATTCTCAAACAAGATAGCATTCATTTGAAAAAACATCAAAAAAAGAAATACCTCTTACACAAGTCAGCTTCTACAGTGCAATCAACCTTGGCCAAAAGAATACGCCCATCTGATTCTGGATCATATCTGTAAGAAGCAAGGGTGCCAAAGTCATGCCAAATCAAGAAACTGTTTATAAATCTTTTCTGTAGAGGAGAATTGATGTATGCTCAGACCTCTCCTTTATTATGCTGGCAGTTTTCTCCCATGACGGTTTCTGACGCGCAAAAAGTAACAAGGTGAGGAGGCAATGATATAATTATTCCTAGGTCTGTTTTTCAGAATAAGTAAACAAACATGCATTTTCTTCAAGGAAGACAGCCTCACAAACTAGGGTCCTACTACAGAAAATATCACATCACAGAGTATATTAGAGAGTTACTAAAATGTTCAACAGTTCAAAAGAAAAAAGGTTATTAAAATATAAATGAAGTACATAAGTCATAAAAATTGATTACTACTAATAGGAAATTTGGAAACAATATCAGTATAACACAAGGTGTGTATAATGACCACTTTACATAGCTGAGAATTAAAGACTGATTTCAGCATGAATCTGCAAGACAAAAGATCACACATGCTAATAGTAGATTACCAGGCGAGTACTCCAGTAGCACCAAGGAACATAAAAATTGACAACTAAAATAGGATACCTGAAAAAATAGAGGTTTCATCAAAATTGGCAATTACCAACTTTCTAAATGTAAATCACATAAAAATTTCTTTTCAAACTGTGTTCACCAACTTTTTAAATGTACATAATTTAGTTCATTTTTTATATTAATATCATCTTCACATTTTATAATTAATTAAATTTCATTCCTCATCAATGCGTGTTGTTTAATTTATTTAAATTTTTATTTCCAATTTCATGTTTATTCAATTTGGTACTTTATATACATGTATAATATATATATATAATATAAAATAATAAAATGTTTGGATATAAGTATTAAAGTATATAAATACAAGTATTAAATATAAAATACATAACTACATAAGTACTAATGTATATAATATAAAGTATTAAACTATATAATATAAGTATTAAATATAAAGTATTAAAGTATATAAATATAAATATTAAATATAAAGCATATTAATAATTATAATTAATATATTAAGTATATTTATTAATTTAATTACTATAATTAATATTTTATTATAACATTTGAAAATTAATCCAATTAATTATTATGATTTATTATAAATTCAAAATCTCACAATTTTATTAAAATATTATATTTCACCAATGATAATATATAAGTTAGGTAGATAAGGTCAATAACAAATCAGATCATTTACAGGTCATGTTGAATACAAGTCATGTTGAAAACATGTCTAGTAATACTAGTTATTTTTTAGATCAATCTCGGATTCGAATTCATATCAATCGGATACAAGTCAGGTTCGAATATCATATTTTTGGTTCAATTCAGGTTTAGGTCTTTCTCATGTCGAGTTCGGATCTACAATTTCTAAATCCAACTCGAGTTCAGATCAACATCAATCTCGACTTGAATATGTTTCAAATCGTCATATCACATATCAAAAATAATTTTAACTATTTAAGTGAATTTTACTGGACGGATAGCTTTTTACACCCCTACTCTCATTGCTCTCATCTCATCGTCGGTAATAGGGCCAACGTTCATCGAGACCGATAACGGCCGCTTACCGTGGCCGAAGCACATACAAAACTCCAAAAATGTTTTCCATTAAACTCCCAACCCAAAAACAAACTACCTTTTCCTTAAATCTAAAGCGTAGATCTTAGATCTATGGAAGAAGGTACTTATCTGGCGATCTTCGGGTCCGACTATCGATGAAAGGTAAAACCCTTTTCTTTTCCCTTTTTTCCTCCCTAGAAATCTCTTCCTCCTATGGTTGTTGCTTTTCGTTTTTTTCCTTAATGGATTTTTGTGGTTTCCAAATCTCTTCTTCTGTGCTCGATCTTTATTGGTGGTTCTTTTTTGTTTAGTTTTCAGTGATGGAGGAGAGGGTGAGGGATTAGTTGGTGTTTAGTGTTGTTTTTCACCGACAGTGAAGGGATAGAAGCCTTAGGGGATTAAAAATTTTTGGACGATGGTTATGATTTGTGACGATGATGGTGGTAAATGGGTGAAAGGCCGTGGATTATGAGGGGTTTGATTGATTTTAGCTGAGAGGCCTTTTTCTCCTTTCTGTTTTTTCTAATTTTTCTGTTCCCTCCTTTGATTGTTATTTTTTTTGCAGGCTATATGGTGGATGTGATGACTAGAAGCCCAAGAAGATGATGGAGGGTGGTCAGCTTGCAAGGCACTGGTGTTGTCACTGTAACTCGGCGTTAGGTGCTCGACGGATCAAAGGGATAGCAGGGGCAACAACCGGGGCATTAAGTGCCCTATATATTTAGGAATTTTGTCGCTTTTGTATTTCATATTTTTTTCCTGCTATTTCCTTCACTCTCTGTATCATTTGCAGCCTTGTAATCTTTTTTCCCTGAAAAAAATCAAATTCATAGAAATTAAATATATGTTTCAAGATTATAGTTTCATTAAAGATTTCTTCCATGTATGTGTTTTCTCTTTTGCTCAAAATATAGACTTAAATTTTGGGGTTTGAGATTAAAAAATGATGGAATTTCGTTGCAGGAGTGAGTACTTCATTGCTGGAGAAAATGAAGATACAAGTCCAAGAGATTTTCAATCTTCCAATTGAACAGAAGAAAAAGTTTTGGCAAAGACCAGATGAGATTGAAGGATTCGGGCAGGGCTTTGTTTTTTCTGAAGAACAGAAACTTAATTGGGGAGATCGATTCTACATGGTCACCCTTCCAACTTGTTTGAGAAAACCACACTTGCTCTCTAATCTCGCACTCGGCTTTAGGTTTTTTTTAATCTCCATCTGTTAAGTTCAATTCCATGGAGTAGTATCTTTTAGATTGTTGGGATAAATTTATTGCAGAGAAACCCCAAAGCTTACTCTTTAGAACTAAAAGGTCTACCATGAAACTATTGGAACTCATGGCAAAAGCTCTAGGCATGGACCCTGGTGATACGAGAGTGTTGTTTGAGGAAGAGCAACAAGCGATTAGGATGAGCTATTATCCCCCATGTCCACAGCCAGAGCTTGTACTTGTTCTAAACTGATAACTTGGAGTTAGAACCAATCTGGAAAGAAGAGGCTGTTCCGAAAATGAAGCCTCTAGGAAAACTGGCTCTGCTAATATTATGGGAAAATGAACCAATCTTGTTTGAGCAGTGTTTGGAGAAGAATAAGAAGAAGGGGTTGACTGAAGTTAAGTGTCATGTCATCAAAAACTAACGGAATATAATGGTGGGATTTTACTGAACACGGACTAATAATTTGATGGTTAGACTAAAAATTTGATGGTTGTATTGTAAGTTTCAAAAGATGGGTGACCAAAATGTAAGTGCCTTAAAAGTTTGAGGACTATTTATATACTTTATCCAAATAGTTGTTATAACAACACGTTTTAATATTTTAGCTATCACTTTTATTCTGTTTTGGTCATTTAATTATTTTTTGTCATCAAAATCAGACTTAAAGTTATTTTTTAATTTCATTTTGATCACTCACCGTTAAAAAATTAACAGTGATATTAACATGTCACCGTAAGATAATGACATGTCATTATTGATTTTTTTTTTTTAAAATACAACATCACCAATTCTATTAATATTTTAAAAGTGTGTGACTAAAATATAACAAAAACGTAATATTAGGTAAGATTTGAAAAAAGAATAGTTGGATGATTAAACTAAAACAAAATTTACATTTAGAATACTAAAGTATAATTTACCTTAATTATTAATTCAAATAATTACATTCATAAACTAATAGCGGCGAAACCTGGAACTGTAAGGACAATAAAAAAAATTGATCTATAAAGTGGGCTATTTTATTTAGGGATTAAAAGACTAATAAACTTTTAGAAACTTATAAACTTTTAAGGATTATATTAATTTCTCTAATTTATTATATGATACTAATTTAAGTAAAGACTTTATATAAACTAAGTAGGTAGTTTTATTTTGGATAATGTTTTGGGGAAAAAGATTTGTTTACTTAAGATGTTAGGAGAATTATTTGTTAAGATGAAGTGTTTGTTACAATATCGATAGGAAAACACATATATTACCTACTTTATTTAGGAAGATACTTGAATCAATTGATATTTTTAAAGTGTACTCTATTAGATTTGATGTTTCAATTGCATGCCACATAAAAAAAACAATATATCTTTCATACATCTTTTTAAAAATAACATGTCTTCCATTCGTCTTCTTACGCATTATATTTACAAATAATTTTCTCGATACTCTAATCATTTCCCTCACTACATTATCTAAAAGTTTTCGTCAAATGGAAATAGTATATGTAAATCTAGAATGAATATAATAAACTATTTTTTTTGCTAATACAGTGGAAAACAAAAGCTAACAAGCTTCAACCATATCTTCGTGCAGAACAGGCAGAAAGTCTCTCGACGGTTCCAGCAGCTCCGTTCTTCCAACAGGTTGACCCCGACTCCACACAGCTAGAAGGTCAGCAGCACCGTATTGTTTGCGCTTGACGTGGTGCATCTCCGTAATCCATTCTTTATCCCGTAATTCATGTAGAGCAGCAACATGGGAACTTCAGGCCAACGCATCCGAAGAATTATTCCAAATCCTCACAACTTCTAGGTTATCCGTCTCTATTTCTATTCGACGATAGCCCAACCTCCAAGCAATAGAAAGTATATCGTGAACAGCCTATATCTCTGCAGTAAGAACCGAGCACCTTCCTAGACTTCGAGTGAAGTCGTGGATCCAATTACCAGTCGAATCTCAAAGTAAACCTCCAGCAGCCGCCATAGAATCGTTCCTTCTCAAGGCACCACCGGCATTAGCTTTAATCTACCCTTCCTTAGGTTGGATCCAATGCAGCGACCTCCTTAGCTGGTTGTAGACACTAATTTTTGTTCGAGTCTACAAAAATATTATATTATATTTATTATTATTATTATTATTATTTTAATTAATTTACATCTTTTGTAGGCTTAATTTGAAGCCCAATACATCCACCCAACCAACCCAAATTACAAGTCCCCAAGACCTAATTACAAGCTCCAGCAGCAAACCTAGCACCCAAAACTCGAATCGATCCAGACCCGACCCGAAGCCCGAACCGGCCCGACACTTGACTCGTCTAAGCTAGGGTTTCAAAACCCTAAAGCAACCAATCACCGCCTTCAACATTTAAGCTTCCCTAGATCGGCGCGTAAGCTCCACCGACCCTCTCCCTGTGCGCGTGAGCCGTCGCCGAACACTTTTGAGCCACCGACGTCATCAACGTACTCCGAATAGTGCTTAATATCACTCAAATCAGAGAAAAGCAACCCATATAAGAAAACCCCATTTTAAAATACCCTATAATCCCAAAAAATCCGAACTTTATTCACCCAAATCAGAGAAATCAAATCCTATTCATAGACTTCATCTCACCAAAAAAAGAACGGATTAAAATCAACATGCAACAAAGGGAGAACCATTCGGGGTGAGAATAAAAAGAAACCAGAGAAAAAAACGAGGAAAAAGGGGATAGAGATCAAAAAATAAAAAGAAAAACCAAAGGGAACCCATTCGAACCTAGTATACAACTCAAAGATAAACCAAAAACACCAAAAAGAAGCAAAAACAGAGGGAAAGAGTTTTACCTTGGTTCGGAGTTCATGCCGGAATCTCATTTTTCCGTGAGGTAAATCCTAGATCTAGGGTTTTTGGTTTGGGTTTTGGGATATATGACTTTAGATTGGAATAGAGGGTGAAGAGAGAAGCGTTTTGGGATATGTGACTTTAGATTGGAGTAGAGGGTGAAGAGATGAGCATTTTGGGAGTGTTTTGCTCACTCCGACCACCTTGGGCCGCCATGCTCCATCGTGAGACACCACCGGCGGCGGAGGCTTTTCCCTTCCCTGATGAGGGAGTTGAGAGAGTTTAAAACTCTCTCTCTCTCCCTCTGTTTTTTAAGTTATGACAAATGTGGGAATGGAGAGAAGAAAACCCATTTTGGGGCTTAAATATGCTGATCGAAACCCCCACTCCTGTGTTTTCACGATTTTTGGGCATATTACAATTTTAGCCTTTTCATTTTTTGTAATATGTTATTTCGTCATGAAATGAAATGGATTATTATCATGTTTGATCTTTTTATTTTACATATGTTCTATTTTAGCCACTGTGTTTTATAATATTATTTGTTTTGGGTATATTTTCATGTTCGGTCCTCACTAAATATTATTTCTTCTGATTTGGCCATATTATTTTAAGTGTAGTTTTTTTGTCACTGTTTTGTATTTTGGGTTAAATATTAAATTTAGTATGTATGTTTACTTTCATTTTATTTTGGTCCTTTATCATAATTTATGGGTTATTTCCATTTTCAGTACCTATATTACTTAATATTTTTAGTTTTGGTTCTGGTTTGTTGTATTTACTGGTTAAGTCCTTTAGGTTTCTGTTTGAGCTATTTTAATCCTTTAAATTTATGTTTGTGCTATTTTGGTCGTTTAATTTTCTGTTTTTGCTATTCCCTTAAGTGTCTATTTTTGTTATTTTAGTCCTTTAAATATATGTATTTGCTATTTAGACCCTTAAGTTTCTATTTTTATTATTTTAGCCCTTTAAGTTTCTGTTTTTACCATTTTAGTCCTTTAAATTCCTGTTTGTACTATTTTGATCCTTTGAGTTTATGTTTTTATTATTTTGGTCCTTATAATTTCAAATACTTATTTTTTGGTCATTTTATTTCGGTTTGTAATATTAATTTGCTTATATGTCAATTATTTATGTATGTACGTTTTATATGTTATGTATTCATTTATATCATATGTAAAAAAATATGCTTAACTCTATTTGTTGTAAATATTTTATTTCGAATACTTTTATTCCTATTTATTTCCATTGTATTTCTTTATTTAAATATTATCTGAATATTTCAAGAACATGTATTTGTAGAACGGGCGTGAAAAGTATCACTTGATCGAAGTAGTACAATCTAATACGACGTTCGAACTAATAGAACTTGAAATAAATCAACTTTATTTTGTTAATTAATTCATCTCGTATTTTAAATCAAACAACGCGATGCATGTTTCTTTAAATAACAATTTAATTTATTTTACGTAAATGTTTATTGTCAATTTATATTCAATTCACATTTTTTACATAGTCGAAGGTAGAATATTCTTTTACGAATAAGAAATAGTTGAAATAGCTTTCCTAACGGAGAATTGCGAATTTTAAGATTTCATATCGTGTAAAAGGATTTTCTTTAAAAACTAATTTGAAGCAAATTAATTAAATCTCAATAAACTGATCATAGGTTAACTTTATATTCGATTCATCATTTCCACCATTTACGACGATGTGTAAGAGATACATTACCAATTCTGGGCGCTGTGGGGGTGCTACCTCTTCCCCACGTGTAACCGACTCCCGAACTCGTTTTAATCAAATCTTTGGTAAACGCATACTATTTATGTCTTAAAAATGATTTTTCTTAAAATTGTTTTTAAAAGACGTTTTTAGGTTTTCGACCTACCTAACCCAAAGGTCGATGGAGACTTATTTTCAATTTAATTCCAATTAATCTAAAATCACCAATTTGTCCAAATCAAAGTCATAATCATTTTAAAAACAATTAGCCCTTTAATATCACATAAGGATACAAGTTACAATGATTGGAAAAATGCCCTTGTTCTCTCAAGGAAACCCTATCGAAAAACAAAACTTATACGAAGCTTTTGGGGGAAGACCGCCGGAGGAGATGACACAAATCAATTTACCACCAGCTTTAGAGTGAATCAAACTTATGGTGACTCTAAAGGAACAAAAAACTCCAAAGAAGATTAAGAACGCAAAGGATGAAATTATCAACGATAGCGCTACAGAAACAAGAGATAGATGCCGATGATCTATTGGAGAGATACATGGTCGAAGCATCCGACATGAATGAAGTAGAAGAAA